AGTCCAGATAGTCATAAATATGTACAGAAATGGGAAAAAGATTTGGGTTCCACCAAGCAACCAAGGTTTTGGAATAAAATTTGGAGTTCAGTAGCCACTAGCTCTATTAATATAATTTCGCTGGAAACTGCATTTAAATCTCTGACCAGATGGTATTTGGTGCCCTCCAGGCTGAGCCACCTTCACTCGTCGCACTCTGACCTGTTTTCGAGGATGTGCGTCGAGGGGAGATGTCCATATTTGGTGGACATGCCCAAAATTTAGATTTTGGGCCAAAGTTTTTCAACTAATTTACGATCTTCTTTCAGTTAACATTGAGAGAGATCCTTGGCTGGTCCTATTAAATTTTAAACCGCCCTCTATAACAAACCTACAGCATAAACTGGTAGTATATGTTATGCTGGCAGCTAAACAGACTATCGCCTGTGCCTGGAAGAAGCCATTCGTCCCCTTTAAGGGAGGTTAAAAGAAAAATGGATTTCTTCTTAATGAAAAATTAACTAGTATCCTGCTAGACACTTATACAAAATTTGAGAGGATATGGCAAGGGAGAAGTTCAGTTCACCAAACGTCCGTTCACCAATCTCCCCCCCCCCCCAGTAAAGGTGATAGTAGGGGTCTTTTGGACCCCCAACATCACCTTAAAGAGTACCTGTTAATGCCAATATGCTATCATAGCATATGATATGTGATGGCAATTAAAGTGAAGTTAAAAAAACTTTTAAAAATAATACATTTAAATGTACAAATTTTAAAACATTTGTAAAAGTCCCCCTTGAGCACCCGCGTCGTCACGTAAACACACGTCGGGTGCGCCTATGTACGAAAATAAAGATTGCACTACACATGTTGGGTTTCCTTGCACATGCCAGAGTGAGAGTAATAATTCTAGGGCCAATATTTACACGTATCTCTAAACTGATGACCTGTAGGAGCTTTTAAAACGTTGTCTATGGACTTTTTGGGGTACTGAATTCTGTCGCAGTTTCACGGACGCACAGAATTTTTTACCTGGGCATGTTGGGTATCTAATTACTCATTGTAACCTCTTCTTTTAAATGTTACCAAAAAATGGTTTTAGATAGTGTTTTGGGGTACTAAATTTAGCTGCAAAAGTGCATTTTTGACTAAACTTTTGGGTTTGATAAGTTAGGCTAATGTCGTGCAACATAAAAATTTGCCTCTGCCACCATTTTATTCTATAGGGTCTTGGCTTTCAGAAAATATATAATGCTTGGGAGTTTTAAAGGAGAACTATGGGGTTAGGGCTTTTCCCCATAGTTCTCCGAAGGGTAACGGGAGGACACAAACTAGCGTCGTCCTGTTACCCAAAGCTCAGTATACTGAGACGCCGCAGCTGAAACGGATCCCGACAATTATGTCTGGATCGGCCCAGCTGCATGAGTGACAGCTGGCTTTGCCTATCTAGAGGCAGAGCCAGCTGTACCCACCCCCTCCCGTTCCGCCAGTCAGTGCTGGGGAGGGGAGAATCCAGTCACTCCCCTGTCACGGCTCTCTGCAATGACAGGATCGAGAAGTGAGCGAGCGCCGGTATGTGTTCGCTCACTTCCCGATCTACTGAGCCGACCTGTGACCGTTTCATTGTCACAGGTCGGCTCAGATTATGAGGCTGAGTAAAAAGCACTCGCCTCATAATTCTCTAAGTACTTTTCAAGCCTAAAATGTGGATTATAACATGGGTGCAAAAATTACAAAAAAGGGCTAATCTGCCTTTTCTATGTGCACTGGCATTTAGCAAGTAACCTTGGTTGTGATTAAGCTCATCCTTTAGTGGTTCTCCTGGTATATATGTATGACCGTGAAATGGATAATCTGCGCTTCTGGAGAAGAGCCTAAAGTAAAAATATGTATTATTAATTAAGACCTAAAGCAGCTCTAAAAGAGGATGGAAAAATCCTCTCAGCGGTCAAGAAACATATATCAAACCGCTAAAGGTATAAGTGGTATGAAACTTGGTGCTAGCTAGCGTTACAAGGGAGAAAACCAAACACTCACCTTGCTGGGTCTTAGAGTGGAAACGACTGGGTCCAAGTTTGAAAGCGTGATTGCAAGCCCAAGTGCCACTAACCAAAAGCCTTCGATTTAACTCCATTTGGTGAGTACCCACCCAAGAGGGGCTGTTGGACCACCGCTAAGAAATATATACCATGAACAATTATTTTTCCTCTGCACACGTTTTCTACCGTTTTTTCTCATTGAACACTGTACTCCAATGTTTTTATAATAATTTTTTTGTGTGGATCGTTCATATATCGTTACATATTAGATGGTTTTTACACAGTGGTTAAATTCCTTTACTGTTTTAATCACTATCTTGTTTTTCACAGTATAATTGAATTTATTAATATTTTTTCTTTTGTTTTATGATCCCATGTAAGATTTCTTTCGAATTGTTCAGTATTGGGTTTTAGGCCAGATCGCTTAAACCCTAATTTCACTTTATTACCTGGTTGCACCAAGTTTCATACCACTTATACCTTTAGCGCTTTGATATGTTTCTTGATATATGTATGACTGATTGACTGCGCAGAACGTGCCGACGGCCCATCGTGCCCTATTTCTCCAAGTGTGCCCTGTGTTTACAAGTATGCCCTTTGTCTCATGATGTGGTCTTGTGTGCCCCGTGTCTCCAAGTGCTTCCTGTTTCTCCAGGTTTGCCCTTGTGTGCCCCTGTATCTTCAAGTGTTCCAATGTGCCCCTTTTAGTCTTCAATTGTGCTGCAATGCATTCGTGTCTTTAAGTGGCCAGTGTGAAAGTGAAGAGAAGGGAGAGAAGACAGAAGAGAGGAAAGAGAGAGACAGGAGAGAAGACAGGGTGAGAGAGGGGAAAAAAACACATTGCTACACAGCCATCTTACCTGCTCAAAGAGCGCCGCAGCCTGATCAACCCGGGACTCAGAAGACGCCCCGCCTCCCACCGAGCAACTGTAGAACTCAAGGCAGTAGGACAGGATGCTGCAGATGCCTCATCGCTCCGAAGTCTCAGAGAGATCAAACCGCCAATTCACAGTGCAGCGGCGGAGCTATCTCTCTGAGGCTACGAAGCTGAGGCAGCTCAGACGGGCACAGTTCCTTGTGGGCGCACAGCTTTTCCAAGCGGCCGCAAGGAACGGTGCCCGTCTGAATGCGTGCTCATGGCCCCGCTTAGCGGTAGCGCCAGCCCTGGGCTCACCAGCGATTTGTAGCTGACTAGATGAGCATGTGTAGTCAAAAGAGAAAACCAGCGGAGAGACATGTGGCTGCGGCAGGCCTATGTGGAAGGATTGCTGATGTAAAATTGGCCTTATACATTATATTTGGTATCTGTAATGTTTTACCTGTATACAAAACTGAAATTCATGAATTTTACATCATCGCAGTTTGTTTATGAATATGTACACTTTTATAAATATAGTTGTTAAAACCATAGGTAATCCTGCATGTGATATTTGCTTTTGTGCTCTCTCTCATGAATGATATAACCCGTATGACAGTTGTAACAGGTGAGCCATGATTGGGCAGTGTCATCATGACTTTGCCCAATCATGGCTCTCACAGTTCTCTGTGCCTGATTGGGCAAAGTAGGTCAGGTGCAAGACTTTAGCCAATCAGGGCTCACGAGGCACAGTACCTTGTGCTGGGCGTTCAGCGGGGCGAACAGCCACACAAACTGCCGATGTTCAGCTTGAACATCATGCCCATCACTAGCCAGAAAGTGGTTAAGGAGACTATTAGACCCCTAATGTCACCTTAGCTTGATCAGCTTCAATGGGCTGCAATCAGCTTCTTCCCCAGCCTCTTTACCCAGTGTAGAGGACAGCAAGGCTGGGTGGTTGAAGGCTGATATATTTCGCTACTCTTTGGGCTGTGGTTCCCTTAAGGGGCACCAGAGGGTTAACCTTCCTGACCCAGGAAGCAATTGAAAAGGTCAGCAACTCCAGAGAGGAGTGTGGGAGTTGAGGAGAGGGGAATCTGCTGTGGCTAGTGAGAGAGAAGCCTGCTGGGTTGCTGTGCTACTGTGCTGCAGGACTAATATTCCTGGGAAGGGATTTCCCCAAGTTTGGGACTTGTACAACAAGTCGGTGAGACACATTTATGTTTCGTTATCTGTGCAAAAGATTTGGACTTTTACTTTGCTGAACATAAGCGTATATTTGTGTTTACCGTTTTTTGGCTGCCCTGCAAGAAGAAAAAAAAATCGAAAGTGAATAAATCGTTGGTTTCGGGTTTTCATTCAGCAGGGAGAAGTCTATTAGATGTCCGATGTCACCTATTGGCCCTATTAAAGCTGGTGTACTTTATAAGCTTCTTCTCTGGCCACTGCAGCCAGAGAAATGACTGCGTGAAACTGGAAGTGACGTAACCCTCGTTGCTTCCGGTTTCAGTAAATGGGGAGGAGATCAGACAGCGAACGGCGTTTATTTACATACGTCAGTACTAAGTTGGTTAAGCTGATAATATGCCTTCTCTTTTTAAAGAGACTATATCTTTTTTTTATTTTACATACTTTATGTTTGAGACTAAACATAAAAAATGTTTCGTCTTCGTTCTTTTGAGAAATTTTGCATTTGAACATGCCATGTTATCTCATGCTGCCAGCAGATAGAGCTCTAGTCCCTGATGTCCACAAATTTACTGAGGGTCATTACTTTTGTACTATAAAGCAAGCTTAAAGAGGAACTTTACCCATACCTTTTGAAATTACAAGAAATGCACCTTTAGAAATGTTTAGTAATGACAATATACAACCAGATACTTATAGATAATAGTAAGACTTTTTATTCTTTGCATACCTTATTTTCCTTTTCCTCCCCAGTCTTCCCACAGTGGCCACCATTCAGATAAGGATGGGGAGTGGAGGGTTTGTGATTTAACCATGTTTCATGTTATACCCTAAATATGGGTGCAACATGAAACATGGTCAGAAACGAGCACTTAGCCTTTAATGTTGTCCGCTACTGTTTAGAAAGAAGAAAACCTTGACCACTTGTTTTATTTTAGGTATAGCTGGTGGTCTTACAAATCTTTCAAAGATGCCCGCTTGTAATGTCATGCTCCTGGGGGCACAGAGGAAAACACTATCGGGATTCTCCAGCACCACTGTTCTACCGCATACTGGTTATATCTATCACAGTGACATTGTACAGTCTTTACCATCAGTAAGTACAGCTACTTTGCACCTAACAAGTAACAAATGTTCATCTTGTTTACTACTTCTATTTACTTTTTTTTAGGACTTGCATCGGAAAGCAGCTCGATTGGTATCTGCCAAATGCACCTTGGCTGCTCGAGTAGACAGTTTCCATGAGAGTTCTGAGGGAAAGGTCAGCCTTTAATATGTTTGATATAATTCTATTATATTTTCTTTGCAATAAGGTTTTTATTGAAAACATTTTCATATTAAACACAGACACAAAAAGGGAAACACCAAGAAATGTTAGGGCGAAGGCAAAAGCCCCAGCCAACAATAATATAACAGTGCACAGTGTGTGTCAAGAGCAATTTGGTCAGCTCAAGTAACACAGACGTAAATAATAGGATAATGGGGAAAACGGCAACACACAAAAGACGGAACAAGAGGGAAGTTAGACAAACAACACAAAGCTGCCGGTCTCTCCACCCCTCGACACTACTGGAACAAAATGTGAGTGATCAGAGGAGCAGGGCGACCTGGTCAAAGCCCTATGGAAAAAAGGCAGCGATCCACGGGTCGTAGACAGTGGAGTACTTAACCAGGGTGTTCGCCTGGGACGCCGTGAGTTTCTCAAAAAACATAACCTGTGACATTAAATCAAAAAACATCTTAAGGGAGAGTGAGGGTGACTTCCAAGATCTCACCACCTTCCTGGCTGCAGTAAAAAGAGCAATATGAGGGCTTTGCGATAGGGTGAACCCAAATAGCACACGTATTTTAGCAAATATCTTAGACCAAAAGCGGGTTAATAATGGACAGTCCCACCAGATGTGCATAAAAATGCCTTCTGCAGAACAACCCCTGAAACAGGAAGAGGGGTAGGAGGAAAGGACTTTAGAGAACAGCTGGGGAACCAGGTACCGCCAATGTTATTATATTTTAAGATAATATATTGTAGCACACCCCCTAAGGAGCCGCATAGAATATATTGGTCCTCTGTCGTACCTCTGTGATAGACCTCCTTTCTTGGACTTACAGCACACCTTGTGAGGTTTATACATTTTAGTAATTAAAGATTTCAGAATATAGAGGGGATTTAACAAAAATACAGCATCTACTATATTCATATATAATAAATACACCGTTATTACTTGGGTACAATGCAGCTTTGACTGACTTGAGTAATATACCCCACTGTACTGCGCTGTATCTAAAATATGATACCACACCAAATATAGCATTGAATGAACTGCAACTCAGTCCCAAAATTTCCAGTTCCACCCCCTACTGGCCAGTAGAGATAGAGTCCCAGGCTAGCCAACATTGGGGCCCAAACTCTATTGATTCAGCAAACTGAAGCACAGTAATGTTATGGCCAATGGCCGCTCACCCGTCCTGATGCTGAGTTGGTAGTTGGCCAGCGAGGGGACAGGGGTCCCTGCCTCCTCCAGCTGACTTGCCTTTATCCACCATTTTCTGTTTGAAGACTGGATGCCATAGATGTCTACCTCACGAGGATAGTGGTGCAGTCCTCCAGGTCGGCCGCACGCTGTGTCCCGGTATCAGTTTCAGTGCTAATCCCGGCCTCCAGTCGTTTCTCCATCCCATGGCTCTCTCCCTTGCTGATTTGAAGTAAGTCTCTCCCTCAATCTGAAGCGGCAATCTCCAGAGAAGGATACACAGAGTTCTCCCTTGCCAGATATCTCTCGCAAGGTAGTATTTGATATTCAGCACCATTGGATCTGGCCTCTTCTGGTATCTCAGCCAGCAGTCCTGTTAAATGTGTCTGCTCACTCGGTCCCGACTAAGCGTGCATTCTCCACACCGTGCCAGCCCACTTCGCCACTCCTCCCCGCAGCCTTCTGGGAGTTGAAGTCCAGTTACCTCAGTTCAGTACAGTCATTCCTAGGCTGTAGACTACAGTCCCCACAATCCCCCACAGCGAGAATCCCGGGCAGCAGCCATTTACACTTAAAAGAGGGAGAATGCTGCACCAGCATAATGGCTGCACCTGGGCTATACTATCATAAGTCATTCCCCTAATTTGTATATTATCAGTTTGCTACTTTTATTGTTTAACCCTTTAATGACGGAAGGTCAAACAAACCTTAATGCCAGATCCCAGTTTTGTAACTTTGGCATGTTCATATATGTACAACTACTTAGTGTATGCATGTAAATTATACCTTGTTTGTGCCTTTTTTGTGTGAACATTCCTCTCATCTAGCAAGGAAAGAAATATACAATGGAAGGAACTTCTCAAAACTGGAACAGACAAAACCCGGAACAGTTGCTCCTAGTAACCAATCAGCTTCTCTCTTCAGTTTTAACAGTAAGGCTTTGAAAATGAAACATAAAAGCTATTTGGTTGCCATGCACAGCTGCTCCAGATTTTCTTCTCTCACTCTCGCGCCTGGTAACATGGTACCATGGCTGGGGTGAGAAGGAATGCCCTGCAGTAAGATAATATTGTTAACATGGCTGGGTGAGGAGGAATGATCTGCAGATTTTAAGACATGATCCAATGTAGCAGTGCTAGAGCGGAACTCCTGTACCCAGAGCAATGTGGGACCTACCCAGAGGAGTCCCACCCAATCTCTACTCCCTCCATTTCTGTTTCCCCCCGATCTCTGCCACCCGTATTTTACCTTTCTCAGAGGGGGCTGCATGGCGCCACTGTCGGGGTGCATCCTCCTGCCTCCTTCCTTTGCTGTTCCTGGGGCTTTGTCTCAGTGTCCGAGTTTCAGGAGGAGAAGATATGCAAACTGGCACTGTAAACAGATGCAGCAAGGTCCCCAGAAGGCTGCCGGGAGGTCCCCAGCAAGCCTGGGACCTTATGGCAGCCAAATCTAGGTAAAAATTTAAAGCGTCGGTATCTGCCTTTAGTATTGGGGCATTTTTACGAGTAACAGCATTCGTGAAAATGCCCAATATCGGTACCAATACTGGTATCGGTGCATCCCTACTTATAAGCATAAACAACTTTATGCTTCTCAGATCACCTTTTCCTATGTTTGGTTGTTCCTGGTCTTTTACATGTGTTTAGCTGCGTAAAACCAGGCTAAATAGACCTGGGACACAGAAATTTCTAGTTTGGGCAAACACTTCTAGACTTAATGCACTTAGATGCTGCTGGATGTCTAGGTGTGCATTCACTCATAGAAAAGCATTATGAGTCCAGGTTCATTTAGAAATTGCCTCAAAACCCACCTAGACTCATGGTTTTTTCAATGTAGTGTTCAGTATATTTGCACTTTATTTCTTACCTTTGTAGATGCGTCTATGCAGCAGGCACTTGCAAGCTTCTTTCTCAATTCAGAGTGGCAGCAAACGCTGGCAGTCCTAATGAGCTTCCACTCATTAACATACTATGCTTCCAAATCTTTAACCCTTTTTTAGGACAGACAGTGTTCAGATCTAGTTTACAAACAATAATGAGATCTACCAATGATAGTGTTAATTATGTTAACATTAACCTCCCCACCTCACTTGCATTCCATAGCAAAACTCAATATAGATACTTTTCTTTCCCAATTGAGCATTCCATTTGCAAAAGAAAAAACATTTTTATTATAGTTGGTAACATAACATGCATGTAACAATTAAATAGGTGTTATCCCAATTTTGCTTCAAAAGTGAAAATACACTTTAAAGTAACTTTTTACCTTTTTACATTTCTATATGCTCACTCTTCTATATTATTGGTATTGTAACAAGTAGAGAGATTTGAAGGTTAGCACCTAGAAAGATCTGTGTATTTGACTTGCTTAGCATCTCTGCCTAAAGCTGCCCACACACCTTACAATTTATCTGCAGATTTTCTGTGGTCAGATGGAAACGGCGCAACAGATTCCTCCATCTACACTTAACTGAGTGGATGGAGTAATCTCCACCCGAGCCAATCTGTTGCACTTTTTCCATCTGACCACAGAAAATCTGCAGATAAATTGTAAGGTGTATGGGCACCTTAAAGCAATCCTGCCGGGTAATGGAAAATCCTTAAGGCAAGGCTTCTGCAATAGAATAATTATTATACTTGCCACACAGGTGGCCCATGTCTCCTACTTTCCCTTTGTTCCAGCTCAGAAGACTTTCCGTCTTCTCAGCATTGGACTCTTCTCGGAGTGTTGGATTTCTGTGTTCCCCCGCCACACACTGGTTCCTTCCTCAGACCACTACAGGCAATCACCCTTCTTGACTGCCAGAGTAATGAAGAGGGATCCAAGGATTCCAAACAGTCCTCTGCATCTGAAGGAAGTGTCACTGGGGTACCCTGCGGAATCCTGTTTTGATTGGCAGGGAGGGCGAGGGTTATTAGTGCCGACAATGATGACCTTCTCCCTCAGCGTAATTCAGAATGCTACAGCAGTAATTACAATGCTGCATTGAAAAAGTGTTGGCAGCCTGCAGGTGGAAGGGAGAATTGCTGGCATGATTACAAGTTGTTTGTATATGTTAATGCATATTCAATTATTTCTTTAGTGCAGTGTATCTTGTTTACAAGGTGTTTTATCCTGTGGTTTTTGGTTATTCTTTTTAAATTTGGGTATAGTTGTACTTCAAGTTTTATATGTATGTGAAAGCAATCAGTTCATATTCATTGTGCACTTTGTGTTTAGAAGCACCGCACAATGATGGGAGGTTATCAAAACTGGAGCACACAAAATCTGCAGCAGCTGGGCATGGTAACCAATCGCTTTCTGGCTTTCATTTTCAAAGCTTAACTGAATAAACAGAAGAGAGAGAAGATGATTGGTTACTATGGGCAACTTCTCTAGATTTTCACTGCTACAGTATTGATAAATTTCCCCCTCCATGTCTTGAGTGTTCGTGATTCAGTGAAAATGTATGGTTGGCTCACACAGTAAAGTCTTGTGGAAAACTGTGGGGCAATGACAGTAAGCAAACCCTTTCCAAAGCTGTAATTCAACAACGGCTGTCAAGAACCAAGCATGTAAAGTATTTTAAGATAACCTTAACTATGTGTCACAATAAAAAGGTACAACATTGAAAAAAGCCTATATTTAATTTGTAAATAACTTTACAAAGCTCTGTATTAGAATCATAATTATTGTCTCATGTCTTTAAATAATGAAAGTAGGAAAAAATTTACAATTTTTTGGTTTTGTTTATGGATTGTATAAATAATGAAATTATTTTTACCGGACTTTATTAACAAAAGAAGCCTTTTGTCCTAAAAAAAATATGTTTTACTTTATTCTTTTATATGTAATACTTGCATTTGGCGAGTGGAAATGCAGTGCAGGCGAGTGGAAATTCCTGTCAGGCTGACTCGGAGCAGCTGCTCCTGCTGGTCTGTCTCCCTTCCTTTCTGCCGGAGCTCTTCACTGAGCTCCGGGTCGAAAACGAAGACATTAGTAAGGTCTGCAGACCTTACTAATCACACCAGATCACCAGGGATCTGCATGCTCGCCTCCTCCCTGCAGAAAGACAAGCAGGTGAGGGGGCTTCCTTGTATTATTTTACATTGTGTGGGAAAGATTACGCAGGTCTGCGACTAAAAAGCTGTTTGATTATTTTCATTTAATTTCCATGTATTTTGGTGTGCTGAAAACAAATAAAATATGGAAAAAACTCCTAGACGTCATGATTTGCCACAACATGCAAAATTGTCATCAAATATAAAAAAAAATATTAAAAAATGATATATTATGGATTTTTAACCAAATTTAAAGTCCAAATTACTATTAATTAATCCACATAAGTGCATTTAAGATATAAAATGCCAAAAAAACCTTAAAGGGTGTGTCCGAGTTATGTAAAAAAAAAAATAGCACTGTAAATCTGATGGTCAGCAATATATACATAAGCAAGTTTTAAATCTGTTCTAATGGTAGAAGGGGTTAATCTTTCCTGAAGAATCCAGTGGGAGGCAGACACAGGGCAGATAGCAGCAGCTCCGGTCAGTGCAGGGGGCGTGGCCAGCACTGTGACGTCTCGTGTACAGACACAGAGCTGCTCTCTCCTGCATGCCACACTTGTGCACGAATCATCATCATCAGGTTCTAGGGTGTTCACACTTTTTCATCGCAATTCGTGTTGGCTCGTCATTCTTCAACCGTTATGTTATGGCTCCGCGAAAGTGTATTAATTCGCCAGACAGTCTGTTTCATCTGTGGTGAATATACAGTGTTGAAGCAACAGCAGAATATTACAGACTTTGTGAAAAAAGTATACTTTGGACTAAAAATTGGAGATCAAGATAAAGTTTGGGCGCCTCATAAAGTGTGCAAACGGAGTGTTGAGGACCTCCGAAACTGATTCAAGGATAAGAAAAAATCTTTCCGTTATGGGATTCCTATGGTATGGCGAGAGCAAAAGAACCATAGTGATGACTGTTACTTTTGTTCATGCGATGTGAAAGGGTTTAATTCCAAATGGAAGCATTCCATTTCATACCCCAATCTTCACTCAGCAATTTGTCCCATCCCCCATGGCACAGATATACCAGTACCCAAGCCCCCTGCTACCTTGGAAGAGATACCTAGCTCCGATGAAGGTGAAGTCATACCTGAACCAGATGATGAATCAAGTTTTGACTTTGAAGATGATACAAGAACAAAATTGTTTTCTCAGGAGGAGATGAATGATTTGGTAAGAGACTTGAATCTTCCCAAAGATGCCGCTGAGTTACTCGGATCAAGGCTGAAAAGCAGGAATTTATTGTTGCCAGGAGTGTCATCTTCATGGTTCAGACATCGTGAAAAGGAGTTTGTTCCTTACTTCGCCCAGGGAGACAAGTTGGTTTATTGCATCGATGTCGTAGGTCTGATGGGTCAATTTAAATTCCAATATGATTCAGAGCAATGGCGTCTTTTTTAATAGATTCTTCAAAAAGAAGTCTCAAAGCAGTTTTACTCCACAACGGTTTTTACGCTTCCATACCTGTAGGTCATTCCGTACACTTGAAGGAAACCTACGAGAACTTGGAATTGGTTCTTCGTAAACTTAAATATGAAGACCATGGTTGGCAAGTGTGTGGGGACTTGAAGGTCTTGTGCATGCTGCTCTGGCAACAAGCTGGGTATACCAAATACCCTTGTTTTCTGTGTCTATGGGACAGTCGAGACCGACAAAATCACTGGACCAAGAAGAGTTGGCAGCCGAGGATGCTAACAGTCGATGAAAAAAATGTCCTCCGAGAAACTTTGGTACCTTCCCATAAAGTTCTTCTACCACCTCTCCACATAGAATTGGGATTGATGAAGCAATTCGTAAAATCACTTTACCAAGAGATGGAGAATGCTTCAAATACTTGGTCATCAAGTTTCCATGCCTATCAGAGGCAAAATTGAAGGAAGGTGTGTTTGTCGGACCAGACATTAGAAGGCTTATAGTTGATCAAGAGTTTGTCAATACCATGACGGATCCTCAAAAAGAAAGGTGGATTGCATTTAAAGAAGTCGTACAGAAATTTTTAGGCAATAACAAAGATCCTCACTACAAAAACGTCAGAAGAATGCTGAAAAAGCATTTCAAGCTTTAGGTTGAATGATGAGTTTGAAAGTGCATTTCCTCCAGTCCCACCTTGACTACTTTCCTGAACATTTGGGAGCCCTGAGTGAGGAACAAGGTGAACGATTCCACCAAGACATTAAAGAGATGGAAAGGAGATACCAGGGAAAATTGAGCTTTACAATGATGGCGGACTACTGTTGGATGCTTCAGAGAGACGAGTTTAGTGTGTGTAGGTGAGCTCATTTCAGTTCAAAAAAGGATTTTCATGAAAATTTTGTAATACAACTTTAATTTTATAAGTCTATTTCCATTTATTGCCTTATTTAACATAGTTACCTAAATTGTCAGGAAACGTGATGTCCTATGACAAAATGGAGGTCATTTTCGGATTCAGCGCACCAAAAAACATAATGATTACGTCGAATAACCAAAACGGCTCTCGAAAAAAAATTTTTTGCAGACCTGTGATTTAAGAGGGTGTGTTTAGGAGTGGAGTTAAGGCCAAAGGAGGGTAGGGGTTAGGTGGGCAACTGGTGGCGAGTAACTCTTAAGGCCTGGCTAGTAGCTCAGGACTTGAAATTTTGACCCCTGCATTATAGTGTATTTCCATTTTCAGTCAAATTTGAGAACCCCAAACCACATGTTTGTTAGGTGTGCCAATGCAGCATACCTAAAAAAAATGTATAGTTCTTTCCGTGGAGTACAATTATCCATAGCACTCTGTGTAGCTTCTATTGCTTTGAAAAGATGGCAATGTTAGGACAGACAGCTCTGCACATGTAGTTCACAACTGATAATTAAATGTTCCAGTGTACAGACAGGGTTAATTATGGCAAACACAACTCCCCTGCCCATCATAAAACTTGCATAGCAAGTAAGAACTAAGTAGGATTTTTTTGTCCTGGAGTTTTTAGAAAAGTTATAGCTGAATCAGTAGGCCCATAGCAGAAAAGTAAAAATCTCTCTGGTCCATAGGGGGGGTATACAGGTGTGAGAGCTGAAGTGGTTAATAAATAAAATGGTAATTGTATTGTTACAATGCATTTACACAAGTTCCATTTTTGTGTGCAGATCAAAGGTGTCCTTTGACCTGCACATAATGTAACTTAAAGCAAATTAAAGGAGAACTATGGGGTCAGTGTTTTTCCCCATAGTTCTCCTTAGTGTAACGGGAGGACACAAACTAGCATCCTCCCGTTACCCTAAGCTCAGTATACCGCGAGCTACAGCTCGCGGTATACTGAGACGCCGGAGCGGATCCCGACGTAGATGACGGGATCCGCCCAGCTGCGTGAGTGACAGCTGGCTCTGCCTATCTAGAGGCAGAGCCAGCTGTACCCGCCCCCTCCCCCGTCCGTTCCACCAGTCAGCGCTGGCAGATCGGAGCGGGGAGAGGGGAATCCAGCCCTCCCCCTGTCACGGCAGAGAGCCGTGACAGGATCGAGAGGTGAGCGAACCTGGTATGTGTTCGCTCACCTCCCGATCTGCTGAGCCGACCTGTGACAGTCTCATTGTCACAGGTCGGCTAGAACTATGAGGTGAGTGGAGATCACTCATCTCATATTTCTCCTTTTAAAGAAATCTAATACATATATTTTTATATTTGGTGTCATAAGTAGTGCCAACATTTTTGCCAAGGCTATACACCCATATCTAAAATGTAAAAATTGCTATGGTCCTGTAAGGAGCATACAGGTACAGAAACAGAAGTAGCTAAACAAATCAAATGTAATGCTTACAATTTACATGATATCTGTTAACTCTTGAATATCTAGAGGTTGTGTGCTTTTTCTACTTTTGTAGGTGGGTTATGACCTAAAAGAGGAGATTGAAAGAAAGTTTGATAAGTGGCAAGAACCTCCGCCTGTCAAGCAAGTAAAACCTCTGCCAGCCCCACTTGATGGACAAAGGAAGAAACGTGGTGGACGCAGGTAAGGATGTTGTTCTTTGTACATGAGAATAAATTCTGTAAATTATAGCAATGTGAATGATAATGCCTGTCTCTTTTTTTTTAGATATCGTAAGATGAAAGAGAGACTGGGACTTACAGAAATCCGCAAACAGGCTAACCGTATGAGCTTTGGAGAGGTATGTTGTTCTCCCATTTGTAAGTAGATATTCATGAATCTTGTGTAAGATTAATATAACATTGTTTTGTCCATTACAGACCTTAAGCTGACATCTTTACAATGCAACTTAGAAAATAACAGCTGGAAACTTTCCCCAGGCTGTATAAATCAGGGCAATTTAGTTATTTGTTACACAGAGAAAAACTGAACATACTTAAGTTGAGGTTGTTGACACATTATATTTATACTAGCAAATTAAGCCCTTTCATGAATCAGATGATTTTTTGATTGTAGTAATTTTGTGTAAGGGGATTGCTAAATATGGATGGGGACTAAATGCGGAGGGAGTTAATATAAGAGTTATAGTAGGTAATACATATTTTCATAAACTTTAGAATATAAATTCCTGTAGGACCTTTTTATGAATACTAAAAAAAAAAGGGGGCACTCATAAATAACACCCTAAATTTGAGTGGATATCCTAGAAAATTATGGGTCATGAGAAGCAAACAAGAATTAGTACAAATCCTCACCAAACCAAGGTTTTCTCTCTTAAAAAAATAGTGAACAAACCCCTTACAACCCCTCCTACCATTACAAAGAAGGAGAAGCATGTAGGCATTTTAACCCTTAAGAAACCAAGAAATCTTAACCCAAGTAAAGCAATTTAAACTGCAATTAGAATGTTTAAAGTATTTTTAGCGTATGCTATGTGAAGGAGAACATGTAACAATTATCAAATGGGTGTTATCCCAATTTGGCTGCGAAAGTGGAAATGCACTTTAAAGAAGAACTCCAGGCAAAATTTTCATTAACCCTTAAAGCGGGGCTTGCCCTGCCCTGCAAGGGTTAACTGCTCGTTCTGGTCTAGGGAGGAAAATAAGTTATACTCACCCGATCCTCTGAGCCAGCAGGCTGTGACCGCGCTCCCTCCATTCTATCTCCTCCTACACTCTAGCGATGATGTGTCCCTCTGCATCTTCGCATGCTATACACAGTGTATAGAACGTGATGACTCGTGGACCTTAGACCGTTGCAGCGGAGTGGAAGGGAGTCTGGAAGGACCAGTTTAAGAGCAAGCTGGCTCAGAGGATCGGTAGAGTATAATTTTTATTTTGCTACTGTTTAAGATGGAAAAGTCTGTTGTACACAAGCTCCTGAATAATGCATATGCATGGAGAACAACACTTGGTAAAAGCAAAATGGTTCTTGTTTATTAGAAGAAAGGGTGCGGTTTATCCAGGCAGGATGCTAGGTAAGCCAGCATACTTGTGAAATTTCTTAAAGATAAGAAAAACTATATGACCGTATATGGTAGTTGGCTGAACACATAGTAACAGTAAGTCTAAATAAGAAAATTACTCTGGCTAACTTCTTAAACAATTCCCACTTTTGTTTATTTTTAAACATCAAGAGTCCATGGCTGAGGTATTTTTCCTTATGATTGTAAGAACAGTCTGAGCCCATGGGAGGGCTTTTGTCTTCTTGTTCCAACAAGGTTGGCATTTCCTCAAGCCTTTAAGCTCATTTGGAGAACAAATACTCTCCATCATCCTCAGCAGGTGGCATGTTGATCACTGTGGGTGAATGGGACTTGGTCTTGCTCTTTGGGAGGCATTTAGAAGCCAGAGAGTTGCAGCAGCACATCACACTTTTCACTGCAAGAAAAATAAACAACATAAGCAATAATACCTATCTTTTTAAACCAGCCAAAAATATCCCCAAACAAATCTCCAAAAGGAACCCAAACCCTTAAAGCGGTCCCAACTGCCTGCTGCAATACTTCCTTTCTAATCTATGTTGGCTCTTCAGTCAATAACCCCAGGTCAGTAACAATACAGTTAATGACCTCATCTAAAAATTGTGATGTAATTATTATTGTTTTTCATTGTTTCTGTTGCCTAACCTGACCATGAGGGGAACACCAGAACCACACTATCAGGGGCAGACCTACCAGCAGTGCAGCCGCCCCAGTGGCCAAGACTCGGCAGGGGAGGGCACTGATAGGGGCCGACTGGACTGGGAGGCGTGGAGGTAATTGCCTCTTCGGTGGCATATAGCAGGCCGGGCAGCTTGGAGGCTGTCAGTGTGCTCAGCTGCTGCTGCCCTCCTGCTGTGGGGGGCCCATATACCGCCTCCAATTTATATGCTCCGAATACAACGCAGGCGGTATATGGGACACACCTGCGGATCATTTCCCTCCTGATGTGGGCACAGTGTCAATGCTCTGCCCCCTTCAGACTGTGTGGCCGGGATGATCTTGGGCTCTGGCAGCACTAAATTGCTCCAGAGTATACATTAAGTCAATGAGTCGATAGGGGGGTTGATGTGGGGGTGCCCAGAAACTGCACACAGTGCTGCCATTTCATTTAAATGAAGAAATGGATTATAATCTATTATAATATATTTCTCCCAGTTTTGGATAAAATATTGCACTTTCTGTGACGCACACAGCCACCAATAACCCCGCACAGTCTTGAGTCTAGGGCATTGCTAAGTCATAAGTTCAATTCATATACAATTCTGCATTGCTGTTTAATGTATTGCTGGGATTTGTAGTCCCTCTACAGCCGGTCAAATTCTTCATTAGAGTGTAAGCTCCTCTGTACAGAGACTGATGTGATTGGCTCTGTACAGCCCTGTGGTATATGTCGGCTATATAAATGTATAATAAAAATAGTGTGTTCCTTTGAGGGGACATTGGAGTGTAAACTCCTTTGGTGCAGAGACTGCCGGGGGGGGGGGTCAAGCCCTTTGTTCCTTAGGTCTGCCACTGCACACTATGTCCTGGGTTAAGAGTTCTCTTTTAAATTTAATGCGGTAGTGCACATTATTCATCCTTTGTGCAGTGTCAATCACCACAACTAAGACTGGTGATAATTTACCAAAATAACAAAGTCCAGTTATGTTTTCAGGCATCCAGGCATAAGCTGGACTACCACAAATAAGCTAATTCTTTTTTATTTATAGAAGATATAGTAGATCAAAACATGAGAGGCTAATGCATAATACTCCAAATGTGTAACTTATTTGTTAAAAGGTCCGGCTTAAGTTTTTCATCCAAAAATGTCTAATAGTTGCTTATACCATCACCTGTATGAGGGATAACCTTAGATTCAGGTAGACTTGGGGAGCGGATATGTGCTGTACCACCTTCAGGCTTTTCCTTTGTAAAAATTAATAGCTCCTTGTATTTGGGTTCATTAAGGCCTGAAAAATTTGAGAGAACAGCTATCCTTGGGATCAGACCTGTGTATGGGTGTAGGTGTAAGCACACTCAACGCTTAATAACATTATTGCTTTTTTGCATACAAGTTTACCATTTGGATAGAAGGATTGTTATTTCACTCTTTTCTAATTGATCATTTTACATTTATGGGTGGGACCTACTTCTTTCCCACTCTTAAATTTCTACAGACATTTACATCTCTCATATACACAAGTGGTGGCCACATACAGACATTCCTCGCTTACCGACTTACCTGCTTTGCGACCACTTGCACTTACGACCGACCTCCGATCGACCTCCGACCTTGCGCGTTAGCGTTAGTGCGACGTGTCACCTGCGGAAGTGAAGTCCTCCATTCTTCACTGTGGGTCCCAGTAAGTATTGTATTGCCCAATGTACAGTACACTGTTCGGTACTGTACATCTGCAACACTATACAGTGCTGTACTAATACAGTGCTGTATAGAGTTCCTCACTTAACGACCAATTTGTTTAACGACCTGGTCATAGGAACGGAACTCGGTCGTTAAGTGAGGAATACCTGTATATACGGAGATGCCTATTCTTGCCACAAAAGTCAAGAAAATCACTATTTGACCCTTCAAGTATTTACAACAATTGTTTAAATTTTTTTTTAAATGTCTGGCATTTTATTCAAGTGGACTTTCCTTTAAGCTCGCCTGTTGTTTCCGTCTTTCTCCAAGTCTTGTCAATTTCCTCACAAGGATCAGTTCTCCAGGCTTTAGACAATGAGTACCTGCAACGGAGGAAGGGTCTGGGATGGAAGAGTATATTAGCCAAAGGCTGAGAACATGTCAACACACACCAAAACATACTCATAGGATCCACACTTGGGTAACTGTAACCTGTAATCTATCTGGAGCCTTTGAAAGGGAAACTCAGGCTTAGGGCAGTGTCTCAAAGGCACAGTCACCATTCTTCCTGGATTGCCTCGAACACGAGTCAGGCAAGACACGCAGAATTAGGCAGCAAAGGTAGCAAACCCTGGGGCTATGCATAGCTTACCTATGCAGGGAGTCATTGCATCTTTGGACAAGTGGCCCAGTCCATGCGCTAGTTTCATCGCCACAGGGAATAGAGCCTGCAGGAAACACCATCATGTCCCGCAAATCCACAGGTTCTTCTCGGCAGGAGAAGCTCTCTCCTTTCTCCACAGTTCCTTTTCCTTCTCAAGTGCCTGGGTCTGTTGACGGCATAAGGGTTCCTCATCTCGTGTCAGAAGCTCACGCCTTCACATCCCCCCCTTCTTTTTTCACACTTCTAAAGAAGTAAAAAACGTATTGAGATGCAAAGATCCTTCCCCTCTAGAAGCCAACCCCTGGTATAATGGTAACAAAAAAAGAGGATAGAGAAAGGTGGGGTTTTTGAGTGGCTTCAGAGGGGACACAACCAATAAACTTCAGTCTTATAACAATATATGTAAAAAAGTATAAATTTATTAAACAATTGACTAAAATCAATGGATATGCATCAAAGCATGTATAAAACATATACACAACAGGGATTGACAAAAAACCTCCTATCAGCCCTTATGCTCCACAACCAAGGTTGGTCTATGTACTCATAATCTTATACATATAACAAGAACATCACATGTAGATCAAAAGAGAGGATGTGGTTGAGTTACTAAACCTCAGGTGGGAGCAACAATCTTAAAGGGGTGATAATTTCTTGGAAGGTAAATCTCGACGCGTTTCACACCTAAGGCGCTTCTTCAGGAGCAGGGGGAGGTAATCGGTACTGGGTGGTATCGGATCAAAAAACCAGTAAACCCAGAATGGGGGAAGATGGATGGCTAATCAGGCGGGCCTGGATGCTAAAAAGTAACGTGGAACGATATCCACAGGGAGAAAAACAAGTGAAGTCCAGGACAGCTGATAAGGAAAGGTCCTCCAAGTACGACCGCTGATGTTGGTGGGGCCGTTACCAGCCCCCTCATAGTGCTGGTAACGGCCACAGCTGGATTAGTTATCGTTTATTTCTTGATTTGTGAGATTGGAAGGAGTCTGGACATAGACAAATATTTTGTTTTAAAGTTTTCTAGCACTTGGTGAATGGAGTGTGGGACCATAATGATTAGGGAATGTCCCAGAACTACAGGTGAAACTCGAATAATTTAGAATATCGTGCAAAAGTAATTGCAGTAAGTGCTGCAAAAGGGGCCCAAACCAAGTACTGCTTGTACTTTTCAGAGGTCCAATATTGTTCTATGTACAATCCTTGTTTTATTGATTGCATGTAATAATCTACTTTTTTGAGGTTGTGGATTTGGGGTTCTTGGGGTTTTCATGAGCTGTAAGCCATAATCATCACAATTATGAGAAATCACATCTTGAACTATCTCATATATTAGTTTCACCTTTTAAGTTGCATTAGTGAAATAAATGAACTTTGCACGATATTCTAATCAAGTTTCACCTGTATATGTAATATTCTCTCCAGTAGGAGAGCGCATGCCGGCATAGCACGCACACAAGTAGGGAGGCCATTAAGGACTGAGTTCAAGGGAGTAGAGACATACAAAACAGGTTTATATCTGTCTCCATGTAGTTGTGTAGCATGTGTTAGTAATTCAGCACAGAATAAAACAAAGGGAAGGTCATAACTGAGCAGCCCGAGAGCAGGTACCTCTGCCAACATATTAACTATTTCCTCCTATACTCAGCTCCATCTAGTGGCCAAAATGCACTAGTGCATTACATACCATTGATCGGAAAAGAAGATATATCCAAGAACATTCATTTTTGTGTCTTTTCACACAGAACGAATGTTTAGAAAGATTTGTAGGGCGATTGACTCTGAAAATTGGTTATAAATGGACACCTATGTATAATAGAGTGGCATACAACCTTGAGAGTATGCTAAAGAAAAGATGAACAAAAGATAATCACAACTTTTTACAGCCTACACATATAAAATTAAAGCCAGGAAAACATAAAATACAGGTATGAGAGAGGTTTTGTTGCTGGTACCAAGTCAAATTTAGGTACTTGCACTGCTTGCATTTAAAAAAATAAATTTCTCTATTGTTCATTGAGGGACACAGCTCTGAAGATTTTTGAGACCTAAGGTTATACTGCTACCATTGGGAGAAATGGACACTAGGTGTTCTGTCCCTGCTGCACATACTTTGTAGTCTATGTGTATAGCTCAACATGCAGCTAAACCCTCCTATTCTGCAATAAGCCAGACTGGATGAAATCTTGTTGCTTTATTAACAAAACAAGGTGGGATGAAACTGGTAAAAGAACATGGAAACATACAATCAATATGTAAAACGGGTAAATCTAGTGACGGCTTGTAAATAAAGACAGAAAAAAATTCAGTTCTACCAGCAATGCTGCTTCTGACCGGAAGATCTGGTATTGGAGCCTTTGGGAGAGTATGAGTACTTGCCCAAATACTCAATGTCGGCAGCATTATGAATTTCATGGTCAAGGTTTGCTGTAAATAACTTGACCAGATCAGTAAGAGATTAAAAGCTGGAAATGCCTTCAGGTTTTTGATTAAAAGGCTATACTGTTTGTGCATATGTGATAAATAATGCCTCTTTATTAGATAGAAGAAGATGCATATCAAGAAGATCTAGGTTTCAGTTTGGGGCATCTTGGAAAATCTGGAAGTGGAAGAATACGTCAGGCTCAGGTCAATGAAGCTACAAAGGCCAAAATCTCCAAAACGTTGCAGGTAAACTAAAACGTGAGGGTTTTCATTGCATGTGTGTATGGAGGAGATATGATATGGCAGTGGTAAGTTTGAGTACCACATATGTTTTATATTTTTCACCGAAATGCTTAGAGCGAGAGCGCTCCAGTCAAGAGGGAGCATGAACTTTGCTGTTTGGAGAGGTCTATCTTTGACTAAGGAAGGGGTGTGTCTGACCTCTTCAGAACAAACACTACCCCACACAGGGTTTCTTGCATGCTGGTAAGGGGGAGGTTTTTCTACTCAGGTTTGGGCTGCCTTTTAAAGAAAATGAACACTTTGCACACTCTTGTTTTAATGTATCTGAAATGTTTTTGGCTGATTTTAAAACAAAAATTTAAAATAAATGTTTTCCCTTAAATTAAATTAATGTTCCACACTTTTGGTTCTTCTTACAGCGCACATTACAGAAGCAAAGTATGGTTTATGGAGGCAAGTCTACTATCAGAGACCGGTCTTCAGGTACAGCGTCCAGTGTAGCCTTCACACCTCTTCAGGTGAGTTTTGCACTTACAACCTCCTTTGGCCGTGCATTCAAATGAAATAAATGCAGTTCAACATCAGTGTTTTTAGCGACACAACACACACATTTCCTTTTCCTAATTAATACAACGGTTGGTGTGACAATGAGGAGGACCAGCAAACTGAGTGACCATCACTGGAGTTGGTTACCTCTGGAGTTAACCCTTTACACACAAACCATAGCTGCCACAAAGTGTTTAACTGAAACACATACCACTCACTGTCTTGAAATTCTGATCTTTAGTACAGGTCAGCAGCTACAGAAATGAAATGGAGTTTAAAGTATGCTAGCGTTCTTCAAAGGGGAAAAACTCTAAGTTCTGATTAGAACTTTAGAATTTGTTAAGCTTTATCGATAAAGCTTAACAAATTGAATAAAACAATGTTGAATATAATTTTTAATGAAAGAAACAGAGAGTGCAATAATTATAGAAAATATATAAACACAGATTATAATAGCAACTGTAAGGGCAGGTTAATACCATTTTCCAGACCAGATCTGGTCCAGAAAATGGTGTGAACCTGCCCGCTGTTCCAGTGCATTCCAGACCAGACAAAATGAGGCATGCAGTATTTTTCTGGTCTGGTCTGGAACGAACCACGCTGGTGTGAACAGAGGCCAAAAATAGCATAGGGATACATTAGGATGCATTTTGGGTTTGGAAGCAATCTGGTCTTTGATACTTTGATGGAAAGGGAGCGTTCCAGCAGCTTTTTGTGGATCCCCTGGAAGGTGCCTCTGTGCCCACCCCACCCAATGAAAAGGAGTGTGGGGTAAGATGGTGGAAGGGTATATGATATTTCAGTACAGTTACCTGGTTTCTTGGCACATTAAATTGTAAATGGCGAACAAAACCAAATACTAGGGATTTTCGGATACCAAGTACCGTACTTGGTACAAGTACTGATACTTTTCCAGCTCCAAGACTAGACTAGAGAAAAACTCAAACGTTAGGCGGCAGCTGTAATTTTTATGGAGCATTGGCTGCGGGGATCCTGGGATTTGTGCATCCCTGTTTTAATGTGGTTTTAATGTGGTTTTAATGTGTATGTATATGTGTGTATATATATATATACAGTGGGGCAAAAAAGTATTTAGTCAGCCACCAATTGTGCAAGTTCTCCCATTTAAAAAGATAATGTGTATATAGAGGTGGTGGTTCAGACACTATAGGACAAGTAAGGCAGCAAAACAACAAACTGTCAGATGGCAGGGCTAAAAAAAAAATTAAAAATTGACCCAAAACCATCAGCATGATCATGCAATGGAAGGGGAAGCAGAGATATGCTTGCAAGCAAGGTCAGCAGAAGACCAACAGGCGCAGATTCTGGAGGCTGAGCAGCAGCAGCTGATTGAACCCCTGCCCATTTAAATAGAGAGACAAAGAAATCCCTGCCCTTCCATCACCAGAAACTCCATAGCCCCCCCAACGAGCCACAGAGGCTTCCCGGATCTCTGCCAATCAGAGAATCTATACGGATGATGTCATCATGCATGCTCACAGCCATCTGAAAGCGAGGCTCGGTAAAGCGAGAACTGGGAGGAGGAAATAGAAAGGCTGGGATGCACACTTTGCATTCCAGCTACCACGCTTGGAGACAACGCAATTTCTGCTGATCCCAGAGACCACCACCAGACAGAGACCCCCTGTAGATGCGTTTAGTGCCCTGTACCAAGGAGGTCTAAAGATGGGGGAACAAAAAAGGGAGCCAGGTACTATGTGGCCCACAGCCAGCTGACATATCAGGCACACGGTCGCAGACCGCGTACCTGACTTTGCGGGAGCAGCTCCACGGTCTGCATCTGTGTCAGACAGTTCTGGGCTCCGGCCGAAAGAAAGAAAGAATGTATGTGAGCAGGATCGATGCCTGGTTATCTGGGGGTGATAGACCAACCCGCCAAAAATCGTGCGGTTTTCAGCAGGTTTTCCAGCGTGCCTGGAAGATGAAAGTCGTACGACCTTACAGTAGAAGGGGTCGCACGCTGCCCATACACCTGCCGCCTTTAGTGTATGTGTATATTAGGCACCATTCACACCTATAGTATATTTCAGGTGTGATTAGGGATTCCTGTCCCAGGAACTTGCGTTTTCCTGCAGCAGGAATCCCTAATCTGCCGTTTACAAGTGGCAACTATCATAAGATAAGCATTATCATGAGATTATTTAAGAGGGTGTGTTTAGGGGCGGAGTTAAGGCCGGGGCAGGGTGAGGGTTAGGTGGGGCAACTGGTGGCTAGTGACTCTTAAGACTTGAAATTTTGAGCCCTGGTCTATCCTATCCTATTTCGTGAGGGAGAAGTTAGTCCATCAGTATGATGCCATGCTTGTGTCAGGAAAGAGGATTTTTCCAAGAGAACAAAAATCAAACTATAAAATCCTAACACTCTAGTACAGAATGACACCCAGAATCGATAAGTTCCCTACCGTCCATTTTCAGACCATTACTAAAGATGTGGGCGGGGAACCCTCCTCCCATCTTACATCTTCTGGTCCTGAACAAAATTGTTGAACTTTTAGCACAGGGTCAGAAACATCTGCCAAATTTAAACTTGTTCACACTAGAAGTGAGGCGATTAAGGGGGGGCATGATTTTGATGCACAAAATGTTTAGTGGTGATGACGACAACATCAGCAATAAACTTTTTACAGTAAATCCATTACAAAGACTAAGAGGCCACCACCTAAAATTGGTGGAAAAAAGATTTAACCATAAAGGGCGTAGGGGATTCTTTTCAGTTAGAGCAGTTACATTTAGGAACTCGTTGCCACCAGCAGTGGCATCAACAGATAGTATTGAATTGTTCAAAAATCATTTAGATACATTCCTCAGAGACCGTTTTCCTGGAGAACTGGGCTGACTTCGCAGTCGGCTATCGGCTCTTCAGCCGAGACGGGCTGCATCTTAATGGGAAAGGTGCAGCATTCCTGGGGGGAAAAATGGTAGAAAGACTGGAGGAGCTTTTAAACTAGATAATGGGGGGGGAGGGCATAAAAACATTAAATTTAATTAATAAAAACCCTATAATAAATTCAAATAATAAAGAGGAAATTATTAAAAATTAGTGGGCTCACTCCAGTCATTAGTGCAAAAGCAGTGAATATAGCAAATCCGATGGCAATAAATAATATAATTAAGCCTGGCCAACCAATATCAAGTAAACATTTGTCTCATAAGACAGGAATTGAATGTATGTACACGAACGCGAGAAGTCTGGCCAATAAATTAGAAGAGCTTGAACTTATGATGCTCGAGGAGGACTTCACATAACATACAGGGGTACATGTACTGTTAAAAACTAGACCACACAGGGACTCTTGTATACACACGCACAATCACACACAGACACACACAGGTTGAACTTGATGGACCTGTGTCTTTATACTGTGACTTGTGGACTACAATATCCCTTTCAAACCTTCCTTTTACATACCAACTCAATGCTACGAAAATCGGAAATTAGTCCTAAGACTTCTTTAAAAGGTGGCTAAACTCTTTCTATAGGGTTAAAAGTGAAAATCACTCATCCTCATAGTTAGAGCCGACGTGTGACAATGAAACTGTCACGTCGGCTCAATAGATTGGGAAGTGAGCGAGCACATACAGTCGCTCGCTTCTCGATCTCCCTGCATCGAGCCGTGACCGTCAGTCACGGCTCCCTGCAGGGATTTCCCCGCTCCGATCCTCCAGTGCTGACTGGAGGAACGGATGTGGGAGGGCGCGGGTACAGCTGGCTCTGCCTCTAGATAGGCAGAGCCAGCTATCACTCACGCAGCTGGGTGGATCTCGACAGTAATGTCAAGGTCTGTCCGGCTGCGGCGGTCTCAGTATACCGCGAGATGTAGCTTGCGATATTCTGAGCTTTGGGTCACGGGAAGATGCTAGTATATGTCCTCCCGTGACCCTTAAGAGAACTATTGGGAAGAACACTTACCCCATAGTTCTCTTTTAAGTCTCTGTCCTCCTTCTTGTGGCTCAATAAAGTGAAGGACATCAGGAAAATTAACGACCTGACTCATTCCAAAAAACACATCTGACCTATTCAGCATTACATGTCATTTATTGGATATACTTCCTCTTTTCTGAGAAAGGCAAATGCTTCTTGGCGGGCTCTTACTGAGGTTTCTTCCTGACTTCTCCCCCCTTTCCATCCCAATTTCCTCTCCTCTTTAGTTCTCCTTCCTTGACTCTTTTCTCACCTCCCTCCCCCTATGTCTTCCTTCTTCTATACTACATTCACCGTAGGGTTTACTCATTTCCCTCAGTGGTCCCCACCCATTCACCTCTCCTCCTTACCCTTCCCTGTCTCCTTCTCCCTACTTGCCTCTCCTGGCTTCTTACTCCTAACACCCAGCCTTCCCTCGGATGCTGGTTCCCTCTCTAACAAACATCATCTTTCCCATCCCTGCATTTCCTCCCTTGGATTATATCCTTATTATAGACCTTTTATGTGGTCACAAGGCATCAACCACTTCCCAACTCCCCATCTCACTGTTCCCCTACCCTTCTTCTCGCTCTTCCCCTTCCCTCCGCTCTGGAAGGCATAGATAGATGAGTAAACCGCATTGTTAATCTTTTACTGTTGGCTGTCATCTCGGCACTTATTCTTTATGAATTCAAAAACAATGGAAATTGAACAAAATTTTGGAAAAAAAAGTAGATGTAGCTGCATTGTTGTATACCCTTTTTCGAAAGCAAGGTTTTGCAGGTTGTGGTGTAATTCACCTGTTTTAGGGAGGGGGCTTTCTTGGTGTGCATGTCTGCCCCTCCTTGAGTTATGCTTATGCAGGTCCCTTGGGCCTTATGATCGTAGATCATTGACTGCGTTCCTGAATGAATAGAGAAAATCTATTTATTTTTTTTCATACTATCCATAAAATCATTTACTCCTTGAGGGATGCAGCTCATGTTCATGTGGTTGTTTTTTGGGCTTGTTGACTGTGTATTCTATGGATTGCTATTTTATTTAACGTCGTCCTTCTGCATGGCACCAAAAAATCCACAGGATGATGTTGAATCATCTTCTGTGTCCCTTTATGAACTTGGAGAAAAGGGTTTTACAGTCCAAAATAAGTTATTCTCTTTTTTTTTTTTAATCGGACAGACAGTACCTCCATAGTATAGCATTTTTCCATTCACTGTTAAATGCAGACTCTGTTCCATAAAACCTTCAGCAGGATTGTGCAGATTTTGTGGATGTGTTGACAAAGACGGAGGGATGTTGTTTTGTGCCAGGCTGCTATTCTGTGTGAATCTGGAACAGCCTAACTCCCTCTATTTTGTCAAGGCAGCAGCCATTGTGTGCAATACTACTGAGGATTTTCTACAGACAGAGGACTGACCCTGGCCCTGGCATTTTTATACTGTTTTAAAAGTAAACTGGCATTCTTCTGTATTGTGTAGTAGAAGCACCTTATTTTGCACACATTGAACATTCATTAATTTCTGTTTCTCCTGTAGGGTCTGGAGATTGTAAATCCACAAGCTGCAGAGAAGAAGGTGGCAGAAGCCAATCAAAAATATTTCTCCAGCATGGCAGAGTTCCTTAAAGTGAAGAATGAAAAGAGTGGGACAATGACACAGTAACTTTCAGGCCTGCATAACGGATCCAACATGAAAGCAACCACCGAGTTTTATGTTTCGTGGAACACAGACTTTTGTATATTTTTTTTTTTTAACTTTTACTGTTTGTACAAGAGAATAAATGGCAGTGTGCTCTAAAAATCGGGAGCATGATCATTGAATAGTATGCTGTTTACCGAACACTCGGGTTAGACACATTGTGGATCGGGTGGACAGGCTGTTGGGGCTGGCATGGTATACATTGGTACTAATGGTCAAATTAGACATTGGTACTAATGGTCAAATTAGACATAAGGCCTGGTTCACACCTGAACGTTTTGTAGCGCGTTCAACGCTCGACAAACGCTCAACAAAATGCTCAAACATCTAAATCCCATTGTATTCAATTGGTCTGGTTCACACCTTTGCTGTATTTCCGCCCGTCCAAACGCAATACAAAACGGCCTACGCCCAAAGAAGTACATGTACTACTTTGGGGCGTTTTGGTCTCGCGTTTCCATTTAGATACAGCCAAGTAGCCCTCGGAAACGGGCGTTTGTCGCACGTTTTTTTTACCGCGAATCGCGGTAGAAACACGCGACAAACACGCCTAGGTGTGAACCCAGCCTTAAGAATGACTTGGTAAAGAAACGGACCTCCATGGCATTATTTTCTGAAATACTGCCGGTTGCCATGAGCCACACCACAGGGTGCAGCGGGATTTAGGAGAGCTGAACAAGTGGCTGTGGAACTGGTGTAAGAAGGGAGGGATTTGGGTTCATGAAGGTCAGGGCTTTTTTAGTCCGCTACTAGCTGTACAGTAGAGATTGTCAGTGCTGGACTCCTGAAGCCCAGCAATAAGCTATTGAAGTGCGATCTGCACTTCGATAGCTTATTTCAAGTGTAAAGTTGATGCTAGGGGTCTTTTGGACCCCTAGCATCACCTTAAAGAGTACCTGTCACCACCAATCCAAGTAAAGTAGAAAAAAATACCAGTTTTTTAAATCAATGCTAAATGAAATTAAAGTTAAAAATAATTTTTTACAAATTTCCCACGAGCATGCTCATCTCCACATAAACACGCGTCAGGTGCACCTACGTATGAAAGGGACGATCACGCTGCACATGTTTGGTATCGCTGCGCACGCCGGAGTGAGAGCAATAATTCTAGGGCCAATATTTATGAGTCTCTCTAAACTGATGCCCTGTGGGGGCTTTTAAAGTGTTGTCTATGGACTTTTTGGGGTACTGAATTTTGTCAGTTTCACGTACGCACACAATTTTTAACCTGGACATGATGGGTATCTATTTACTCGTTGTAACCTCATCCTTTATATTCTATTTTAAAAATGGGTATTGTGTTTTGGGGCATTTTAAGTGCATTCTTCACTAAATTTTGGGGTTTGATAATCCATTACGCTAATATCGTGCAACATAAAAATTTCCAACTGCCACCATTTTATTCTACAGGGTCTTGGCTTTCAGAAAACTTGGCTGATGTGGTGCTCCAATGACCTGGTGGAAACGCTGCAGGTGATGGCGCGGCGCCTGGCCCCAGCGTGATGCCAATGCTGTAGTGGAGGGCAGGGGTGGCAGCTTGACAGCGGTGTGAGCCGCTGGGGAAGGGGAGAGGGGGAAATGAGGGGGGGCCGCAGGGAGATGAGGGGAATCGGTGATGACCCGATGGCAGTTAAGGTACGCTCATCTAAACATTTTATCAGGTTACTTAGTTTGTCAAACTCTGTGACAAAAATTAGGCTCCATCCGAAAACGGGAAGAAGCCCAATCTTTCCCCCTTTTGAACAAAAGGCCCTTAAGGATTTAACCACCAGCAAACATATCATAATTTGACAAGCTGATAAGGGAGGGGGTATTGTAATCCAAAACCTTGAGGAGAATATTGGAGAAGCCCTCCACCTTCTGTCGGACCCATCCACTTATCAGTCACTTCCCCAAGATCCGTTACCCCAATACTTCTCAGCCCTACATTAATATAAGCCTACAAGAGCTCTTATATGAACTTGGCTGACTGCACATATTTATTGAATATGCTGGGCACAGCAAAAAAGGATATTATCCAAAAGCTGGCAGTAATCTGTGACAAACAGCCAGGAAATGTGCATTTTCTGAACAAACTTATAGGTTATGAATGGAATTACAATGGGTTACTAACCTGGAGGCTTATATTAATGTAACCTCAAAATAATGAAAGGAGAAGGAAACGGGAAGCAGATCTATAGCCGGTGAAGAGGAAATAAACTATATGTTGTGAAACTAAAACACATTAAGTGGGTAAAGTATATTGCCTAGTGCATATTGAATACAATATATAACACATCTCTGCAACAAGATACATCTGTAACTGATAATAGTCTCACTTCCGGCTAGTTACTGTGCATTGTCTAGCAGGAATGCTGCAAAGTAAGAAGAACATTGACTTCTATCTGTTATTGCATCGGTAAAGATGCAACATTCAAGGTCTTAATGTGAAAACGATTTGAACACAAAAAGAATAATAATATATAGCCAACTGGGAGGGGAAAAGGGATGATGTATAAATGTGTGTTGGTATGAAGGCAACGTTGTCAATTTTAAACCAGAGGAGTCTGGTTGTGTGGTGAAGGGACTATAAAATTTTGTTATATTGCAATAAAATTATTTTTTTTATATAAATAGATTCTGGTTTCAAATGTGACTTCTGGTTTCAAATGTGACTACTTCTGTGTTGGTCTTTTTTCTTATAAGGACAACATCTTGACTGTTTAAGGATTTTAAAAGTCACTGATTTATTTTACTTATTTATTGAAATGGATTTCAAAGGACTGGATTCCGGAGCGCCATCCAAACATTTCGGAGCAGATACATAGATTTCTTCCTGAAACCCATTGTCACCGCTTTACCTTCATACCTCAAAGACTCCAGCCAGCTCAGAAATACTATGTCGGTCCTCTTGGGAACCTACGTATCATTGGGTTTCCCTAGATGTATGTTCCCTTTACACTTCCATCCCACATCATGTGAGCCTCCAGGCAATACAGTACCACTTGGCACAACTACCGGCTCTCAAACATAAACAAGCGCAATTCATAATGACCTGCAAGTGTTTCACCCTTGAACACAACTATTTCTGCTTTCAACAAATTTTACCTACAGATCCAAGGGACAGCAATGGGGGCAAATTATGCCCTCAATTACGCCAACCTCACCATGTGCCACTGGGAACAATTTCACATTTGGCAGAACAATCCCTTTGCAGAACATCTGATATATTATGGCAGGTACATACAGTTGGTCAGAGCTCAAAATTTCAAGTCCTAAGCTACTAGCCAGGCCTGAAAAGTTACTCGCCACCAGTTGCCCCACCTAACCCCTACCATGCTCCGGCCTTAACTCCGGCAGGTCAGAATGAGCCTGATGAAGGGGTACTTCTGAGACCCAGAAAGCGCTTGTACTGAATGGCAATTTGTCATTAGAGGTCAGCAATGGTGACGCGCAGTGCAGAGGTCAGCAATGTGACGCGCAGTGCAGAGGTCTTACCGTTGCTTTGACGTCTTCTCCTGGTGATGGTGGAGGAGCAGCGAGGTTGCCTGCACGTCCAGCCGGCTCCAGGTGCTCTCTCCCACGCAGCAAAAGCTGGCCAACTGCGGTTCGGCAGTCTTCCTCTCCCACCAATGGCAGCGGAGGAAACTGCTGTGGCCACCGAGGAGCCCAATCGAAGAGGGCACAGACGATGGCAGTGGAGCTTCTTGTTCTCTTCTCCCCGCCACCGCAGTCTTAAAGAGGCCCCCCCTCCCAGTCCACATCTTTTGGAGGTTATTAATCTGACTTGCCCCACTCAGTATGCCCCTTGCTTGCGGTCATATTGAGTGGGGCACTAAGATTAATAATCTGCTGGATTAGTCTGACCCAGGGGCGGACTGGGGCAGGGTGGCAATTGCCCCCCAAGCCTCTCTAAACCTTTGCAAACGCCCCCCACCGCACCATAAGCCTTTAATCTCTCCCCTCTCGGTCGCTCTGCTGCTGCAGCAGCCAAGAGGGGAGAGATGAAGTCCTTGCCGTGGCGGGGGGCGTTTGCAAAGGTATCAGAGAGGCCTGGGGGACAATTGCCACCCTGCAACTCAAATTAATAATGTCCAAAAGATGTGGACTGAGAGGGCGGGCTCTTTAAGAATGGTCTGATCACACCGCTGAACGATCCCTCTCTCTTCTCCCGACCGCTCCAGCTTCAGCTCCACGAGGTGGGCACCCAGAGAGGCAGCTATGATCACACCTGTCAGCATTCCCGCTCTCTGCTCCTGGCCGCTGCAGCTTCAGAGCGGCCAGAAGGAGAGAGAGGGAGCGATAACGGGTGTAAGCAGAGCCGCCTCTCTGAGTGGAGTTGAAGCGGCCGGGACGAAAGAGAGAGAGCACAGAGAGCTAGCTCCGGCTCTGGATGGAACACTACCGCCGCGGCAA